GGACAACTTTTACCTGTTCTTTTTTTAGAGTTATATTAATGGATCGATTAATTGAAAAGATGAAAAAAAAGAACAAGGAGAACAACAACAACTCGGACAAGAAAAACATGCGAATATCTGATCGTTCACTTTTTAAATCTACGAATCACGTTTTTCTTCGTTTCAGATGCTTGTCACAAGGCTACTTGGTTTTCTCATACCGGCTTTCACTCATATTATCTTTCAGTTTCTTTTTTCGTTTGTCGTTTTCTTTTCAAGAAAAACAGGACACAATGAAATATCAATCATTGATAATATTACACCAGAGGCACGAAATAGTCCAATTAACAGCAATCATCGGTATTTAGTATTTAGTATTCACGTAATGATACATATTATGCGTATTATGTATATATAGATGGACATTAAAATTTTCGCTATGTACATCGTTCGTTGCCAGTTTTATGTTCTGTTTTCCTGTTTTTGTCGAGAGCATAAAACAGTTACAAAACGAACGTTGTACAGGATATAAATAAGTACATACGTATGTATTTTGCGTATACAGGCGTAACACACACGTGTGTGGTTTCCAGTAAAAACGTGTTAACATTTAGAAGAAGATAGGCACAATCGATGGGAACGATGAGCTCCTGGAAAATGTGTCTCGCGCGTTGCTTCGTGTGACAATCGTTGTTTTCGTCAACGAATTCGATCGAACCAAATCTAATGACGATTAACGAATACCTCGTTTCTTCTTTCCTATCAGCTTTTCTCGCCGATCTTTTATTTTTTTCTAAGATGTTGAATTCATTTTAATTTACATATATGCCGACAAATTGGGATTGATCAATGATCGAAATGCAGATAACACCTAAATACAATATCGTTTATCCACGAGTAGAAACTTTTCCTTTTTAGGGAGGTATCTAAGCTACGAATTGAGGTAGAATTACATATGGATACATATAATAGAATTACAAATTCGAGACAATGTTTAAGTACACGGAGGTGGGGAGAGAGAGAGACTAACGAGACGTTCGAACAGCGATGAACGAAAAGTGTTCGTCAATTGTTTCTGGAATACGAATGCCAAGCTTCTGGAATAGACCATAGTGTCACGACTGTGAATGCTAGCCATATAATCATTATTGTTGCTGTTAATATACTTAACGATATTATCGATACACGTTACACTTATCAACTGACCTCTATACAACAACTAGAATTTCGATCAACTATATATTTACTATCACCATTGGTATTAATGTTAATATACGAACTCCACTTCAGATAGGAAACAACGAAGCCGATCCAACGCAAAACTGTGCTATCAGATCTCGAATGAACGCACTATCGAACGCACATCGTTTCGAATAATCTTAATGTAGAAACCGAATTCACGAGAGATAAAGATGTATTTATATTCTGAAATCTGTTGGATTTCTAATAGAAACACAATAGAAGTATAGAGAGAGAGATACAAGGTATATGTATACGTATAACGAAAGTTGTAGAAATGGCAATTGGGATGGTCTTTAGTTGGGATAATTCGGCTAGAGATGGACGTTGCCCAAAAGAGATAGACCGCAGATGACTTTGCAAATTCGCAACTAAAGAAGTAAAGACAGAAATTTGTTTTGTCCTCTAAATATTTTGGATACCTTTGCATATTTTCTTCGCGCAAAACGTATGGATCCAATGTCGCGTCTAAGTTCAATTCTACTTGTGAAAGATCAGTGTGCGTGAAACATATTCCTTGGATAGTATGGACTACAACATTCGTTCGAACTTTAAAGATATAACTAACGGTGGAATTATTTGAAAAGATTCAGATCAAAATTGAAATGCTTTCCTTGAAAACCTTGTATGTACGGTAACTCGATCGACAAAACACCTTCATGCCGAAGGGAAAGTTTGGTTTCCTCGACCTGAGACCTGAGACCTGAGACCTGACGATAGAGCTCCGAAAATAGTTTCTAATTATTAACGATATCTATGATTCACACTAACTTGATTCGGTAATGAGATGATCAACTGAACGCTTACGCGGAAACTCGCTTCTCGGTTTCCCCTTATAAAATATTTGTGCTGTTTTATAGAAAAGAAACTTAAGCTTACCCCTTAACAACTGATCGAGCTCTATCATTATCATATACTCTAAAAGACCGCGGATAAAGTATGATACAGAGTTTGTACAAACGCGTCGCGTACGTGTGTTACAACTTATAACAAGTCGGTTATTATATTCCTGCGAGGTTACGCGTACGCAATACGAGAACGCGGATTCGCGTAATTACACCCTAGGAACATCTCGAGGATCTATCAACGAATTCTCATCGATCGGAGGCTTCGTCGATATCGCATGCGTCTCGTTCGCCTACGATCGATCGTTCGCAACGTTACATCGATCATATTTTCAATCTCTTTTGATCGGTGAAGTAAAGTCGATCGATATTTCCGTAAAGAGAGTACATTAATATCGTTTCAAATTATCGCGATTACATTCGTATCTGGAATATAGCACGACTTTGCATCATCGACATCTACGACCCGTTTCTCTTCATAAACTACTGTGATCGGTCACATTCTTTGTGCCAACTCTGTATACTACATACAGAATCGATCTTCTATATATATATATATATATATAAATATATATATATATATATATATTTGTAAGTACGAGAAATGCATGACTGGTCGACATTTAACTCGCGTATAACTTATGGCTCTATGTACAATCGATTTTTACGTTTCAGTCGTCTGTCGAATGCAACATTACTAATGCTAATGCTAATCGTCAAAGTCGTTACTTCCGTGGCAGAACGACTGGTTCATTTTTAAATCTCTTTGGGCTTGGCTTCGTCTGGTTCGTTGAGAGGAAGCTCGTTTAACGTCGTTCTGTGGTCTGTATTTACGAATACGCATAGAGATTGGCGGAAGATGACGGGAACGGGCTCTGACTGTTAATCGGATCCAATGAAACCGAGCAACGATTCGTGCTCGTGTCTTCCGATTTCTAATGTCGACTTTCATAGCGTACAAAGAACGCATGGGACGATATGTCGGATCAATATTTATAAGGTACAGCGTAACTGTATATAATCGTAATGCATAATGTTCAATGTGGATAGAAATTTGTTGAACCGTCAACTGATGAAATAAAAAAACGTAGGGAACGTTGCTCGTGCACAGTCATCGATCGCGATGATTCTTCTCCATTTCGGTCCGCGTCAGGTCAAACCCCAAAGTCAGACCCCAAAGTCGAATCTTGATTATTTTCCGTTTCTTCGACGAGAGGGAATGAACAGACGTTTCGTCAGCGGTTTCAAAGACGACTCTGCGTGGAAGTGTTACAATTACGAGCACGATTTTCATTTGTGACACCTTCGTCGAGGCGGTTGGCTTGACTCGACTCGGCCTGATCAAATGTTAATTTCGACACGAAACACGCGTTTTTGGAAGAATGAAGAAATACGTTGACGCATATAGGGTTTGATCGAGTGGAGCAATCGATTCGTTTTAAGTTAACGGAGCTCGAGCCACGAGATTTCGGTTATCGTGCGCGTCTAACGATGTCTTTGCCACAAAGTACGTCCCTGACCGCCCTGCTGCCGCCCCCAGGTCACCCTCGATAACCATCTATATATATATATATATATATTTGTAAGTACGAGAAATGCATGACTGGTCGACATTTAACTCGCGTATAACTTATGGCTCTATGTACAATCGATTTTTACGTTTCAGTCGTCTGTCGAATGCAACATTACTAATGCTAATGCTAATCGTCAAAGTCGTTACTTCCGTGGCAGAACGACTGGTTCATTTTTAAATCTCTTTGGGCTTGGCTTCGTCTGGTTCGTTGAGAGGAAGCTCGTTTAACGTCGTTCTGTGGTCTGTATTTACGAATACGCATAGAGATTGGCGGAAGATGACGGGAACGGGCTCTGACTGTTAATCGGATCCAATGAAACCGAGCAACGATTCGTGCTCGTGTCTTCCGATTTCTAATGTCGACTTTCATAGCGTACAAAGAACGCATGGGACGATATGTCGGATCAATATTTATAAGGTACAGCGTAACTGTATATAATCGTAATGCATAATGTTCAATGTGGATAGAAATTTGTTGAACCGTCAACTGATGAAATAAAAAAACGTAGGGAACGTTGCTCGTGCACAGTCATCGATCGCGATGATTCTTCTCCATTTCGGTCCGCGTCAGGTCAAACCCCAAAGTCAGACCCCAAAGTCGAATCTTGATTATTTTCCGTTTCTTCGACGAGAGGGAATGAACAGACGTTTCGTCAGCGGTTTCAAAGACGACTCTGCGTGGAAGTGTTACAATTACGAGCACGATTTTCATTTGTGACACCTTCGTCGAGGCGGTTGGCTTGACTCGACTCGGCCTGATCAAATGTTAATTTCGACACGAAACACGCGTTTTTGGAAGAATGAAGAAATACGTTGACGCATATAGGGTTTGATCGAGTGGAGCAATCGATTCGTTTTAAGTTAACGGAGCTCGAGCCACGAGATTTCGGTTATCGTGCGCGTCTAACGATGTCTTTGCCACAAAGTACGTCCCTGACCGCCCTGCTGCCGCCCCCAGGTCACCCTCGATAACCATCTCCTGCCCCATCATTCAAGTTGTGCTCTTGTTCTCGTGATTTCATCATTCACAAAATCTGTAGCCTACATCCGATAGTCAATTATTAAATTATCTGTTATTCGAGAGTGTAAAAAGCAAAAGTCTCGGATCATGAAACGAATAGTGTTCGTTCTCGCGCGATATCTCTTTGCGTGGAATTTGATTACCCTGAGTTATTTTTAATCGAAGCTTTCAGCGTGTCAAATGTCCGAAGTTGAGGAGAATACCTTGATACATATGTAGAAGGAAGCGATTTGAATTTAAAGCATAAAGAACAATCTCTTTGTGAAATTAATCCTCTATAACTTGAAAGTAATTTATGTTTAGTAACATCATATCGTCTTGATCTGACGACTATTGTTATAAGTAAAAATAACGCCGAACGAATATTTGGTATAGTATTATAATATAAAATCGTAGAGGTTTGCGTTCTCCTTAGCTTCCTAGTGCGACGGTGCAAAAAGTTTGAAAATTCAAAGAATCAGATTCCAGGCTTCGTCACGCATAGCCATTGTTCAGGTAACAAGCGAGACTGTTTGTCTATCGAAGCGTTTAATACCTTGCCATACGTTAATTGGCGAGATATTAGTTAACTGCTGAACATCAAAAGCGAATCTTGAGAAGCGTAATGCCTCGCAGCACGTTGCGTTAACAATGAAAGATACATGACGTGACGTGACGTAACGAAGAGAGAAAGTGGGGAAATTTGTTGAAAAATCAGTTGGTGAGACGCGTAAGCGGATGTTTAAAAGACATTTCGGTCGAGTTTATTGTCGTTGCACCAACTTTTCTACATGGAAGAACGAGTTTCTTTCGTTTTAGAATTTTCTTTTTTTGCATATGGAGTCGTTCAGAAATTCTCGAACGAAGAGACAGAGAGATGATTAAAGTCAGTGCAGCAAAAGACAAAACAACTTGTTAACGATGAAACGTGCTGCGTTGAAATGTTTGCTTCGCTGCCACTCGAATTACACGTATGTATATCGTTCGATATATCACGCGGAAAGTTGAATGGATTTTAAAGCAGCGGCAGCAACAGCAACATATATTACAATAGAGGCACGCATACTGTCACGGACGAAGGGAACAAGTTACCTACGCAGATCGTTGTTTCGGCGAAAGGACTTTTCGAACAAAAGCCGCGTAAAGTGGCTTCTGTCAACGGCGTTAATTATTCCAAACAGTTTTACCGTTCGCTCATCGGACGTCGATTTTTCTGATATGGCTGCATTATTGCCGCTGTGAACATTAAATTTCATCGCACAACTCGACGATGCTTTAGACTCTAAAGCTCGTCTTGTTCGTTTTATTCATAGATACATTGCAGGATAAAATTTACCGCATGATGAAATTCTAAAGAAGAGAGTAAAAAGGGTACAGGAAAAATTGTTCGTTTCGAGTGACGTTCAGTTTACGTTCCGTTCAGCCGTAAATGGGTCGTGTTCGGAGCAAACACGATTTTAAACGTACGCGTCGAAACACGTTTAAGATAATTTTATGAGATTACATGAAAATTTTGGAAAATAGAAATACTTTATATTACTTACTTTTCCAAGGAAAAAGCTTTTTCGTATATCTTTTAAAATGCCAACGAACGCGCTTTAACGTTCTTTGTGTTCTTGATTCTTTGCACGGTTTGACGCGTGCGTTTTTTTGTGCCAAAGCGTATCTAAATTTCTCGTGATTCTCTATTGGTTCCTGTCATGCGTTTCATGGCAGTCACGCGAAGCGACACGGAACCGTTTCTCGAACGGAAAACCCGTTTCATTTTCTATATTGAGCAACGCAAAGATTACGCGTGTACCGTGGCTAATCGGTGGAATACATGTAGCTTGTGCTCGAAGCAAATTACGATTGAGAAACGTACACGTCGATAATCTAAATTATAAATTTTCTCTTTAAAAAGCAAACGCGCTTTCAAAGTCCACTCGTCGGATGCAAATACAATGTGCTCGTAAGAAATTACACGGTCAGCTTATCTCCTAGATAATCCTTAGTTAATCAAGGAACCAGTCGATTGGTAATTTTGGATAGCACCGGTAAAATTTGGAATAAGACTGAATTCCTTCCATTCGTTAATCGAAACCTGTAACTTGTAACGAAGGTTTCATCGAACTTTATCGTTCGATTCGGCCAACTTTTCGGAAGGATGATTCGACCACATTCGTTTGTTCGATATTCGTTCCTCGACGTGATTCGATGAAAGTCTGTTCTTTGTTAAAAATTGTAGACTAGAATAATCGCGTGTGTTCGAAAAATATTAGTTTGAAAACATTCTGTTCTTTCGATGGGATTTCTCAGATCTATTTGTAATATTTTGCTACGACATGACATTAGATAAACATATTTTTTAACAAGTAGAAGATAATTATTCAAACGTATAGAATTTTTTAAATTCGGCATTTCTCTCGACGAAATTGACATTTCGATGCTACGTGTATCATTCGCGAAATAAGGCTTAATGAATAAGAAACTTTGGGAACCGAATAAACATAAACGATTGGTTGGTACGATTGGAAATCCCGTCGAAAATCTGTAAGATTCCGTTGGGATCTCGAAGGGAATCGAGGGAGCCCGACGTGTACGTTTCGATGGGGCAGGCGAGGGTTCTTCCTAGAAAAGTAGAAAGGAAACCCGAGTGCGGCGAGCGTCCCCCTTGGCCCGTCGGGCCATCCCAAACTGTCAGACGGACGGGTCGCTGCCGGGGGCGGAGCCCGTCTTGCTGCCGTCGACACCAGCACCGCCACCGTCGCCATCGGCGCCTGCACCCTCTCCGCCCCTGTACGGCGAGCCGCCGGCCCCACGCGCCGACAGACCTCGGAAATCCAGGTTGTACTGAAAAATAGATCCAAAACTACAGATTATCCACTCTGTACATTTTTTCTTCCTCTCCGTCGATTCTTCCTGATCACGGAGATAAGCATTGGACTAGCTTCTCGATCGATACGTCGGACCAAAAGTACGTTGGCAATATACCCTTTAATTATCCTGGCGCGTCTATTTATCGCAGACATTCACAGACATTCGCAGACATACAAAGTGTATTTATTGCGCCACCTCTCGTCCATGATCTTCAAGTCGATATATATATACGTATCTATACGTGTAAGAACAATTAGAAATACGTTGTTCGGTAAGATTCTTTTTCCTCATTGTTATTGGAATGTCATATCTACGCCAATCGAGCGCATAGATGTTTAAAATGTTGACTTAAAGCCTTTTGACTTAAACGTAAAAGAATAATCAAGATATCGACTCGCAACAAAAAGGTTCGTAAGACGATAACAGCTGGCCGGTTTTTATTCGTTCGTTTTAATCACATGTAAATTCAAAATACTTTCGTCCAACGTATCGATATTTCATTTAATGATCGTTCGAAGTGTTTTAGTTGCAAATGGGTTCGTTAGCGGTCGTAATTGTTAATGATGCACTGCGATCATGAAGAATGAATCGTTATTTGTTTATAAAAAGTTGGTGATTTGGAAAAGTCGGAGGCCGTTATGACAAATTGTTACTCTAATGAAAATTGTGTCAATTAATTTGGTATGTAAAAAACAAGCGTTATATTTTGCAGTTTACGGCATGTCAGATATGATATCGATAGAGAAAGAAGAAATAATGAATTCTGTTACACGGTGAAATATGGTATTTCATCCATTTCTGTAAAGATGGCTGAAAACAGGAAACTAGATTGATTAAAAGTTCCTCTTCGTGCCGTGGACTATGCCGAATCGATATTCGACGGTGTCACTGTGTAACTTGTCGATCGAAGCGAAGCTGTTCAAAAATTGGACCATGAAAAAAACGTCTGCAAAGTAGAATAAGAAAAACGAGAAATCGAGTCAACTTATTAGGGCAATAAAACAAAACCTACGCGTAAAATGCATCGTATAAGAAAAAGTGGCACCGGGAAGGGGGAAGGGGAACGCGTTTGTCGAACACGAATGATGCGAAAACGATCGATCGTACTAGATAGAAGATGGAACAATTGGATCGTTAGGTTAACGGTATTGCAATGTCATATCGCGTTAGATATTTTACTGTTTCATAGAACAATTTTGATCTATTACTTCGAGGACTAAATTCGAGGTGTTAAACTAATCGGAAATTATTGTTATTTTAACTTCATGGAAACCGTGAAATTCGATTAACCTATTTCCCGAGCAGGGTGTACATAATATTCGAAGCTCGAAATGGAAAAGTTCTTCGATCGATCGTAATTCGATCATTGGCGTTCGCTCGAATAGATAGCAACGAGGCGAGAAGCAGACTGACAATAAGCGAGAAAGCGAAAGGAAAAAGAATGAAAACAGAAAACGGAAAACGGAAAACTCAATGGGTGGAAACCAAAATCGAACCTGTGTACAACAGAAAGAACAGCGCTTCTGTAGCTGTGCGTGAAGAACACGTGCGACCTTCGGGGTGCGAACGAAAGTCTGTGTTATCTCGGCAAGGTGGCGGCGTGTCTTAGGTGCTGCAGCTGTGCCTGTTGTAGCTGCAGCTGCAGCAGCTGTAGATTCTGTAGGCAATACGGAGCCTGCGGCCCGCAAGTGGAAGTCGTGATGGGTGTCGAGTATGGAAGGACCGATGGATGAACAAAGGATGCGGAATTGCGTGTAGCAGTACTGGTAGAGGTGGTATTTGGCAGGGTGTTGTAGTTGAAGAGTGGAAAGCCCAGATTCGCACCTCTTAGAATGTTGTGTAACTGGGCCGAAGTTAACGGATAAGGTTGTACGTAGGGACTGGTGGATGGTAACAATTGCGGACTAACTGGATACAAGCAATCCTCTTCAGCTAGGCCAGGTATCGTCGGACTGAGCTCCATGTACTGCGGCATCGTGACATTGTGCTATTCGACGAATGCATGGAAGGATACATAGAACATACTTTACTGCGTCGCTTACTATATATATGTATATTATAATACTGTGTAGTTCGTTTGTGCGAATATTTACTTTAGCTTTGTTTTGCTTCCCAAGCAAATAAATTTAAAATCTGACAAGTAATAATTATATCAGAAATACACAAGGAATATAAACTGGAAAATTTTCTGGTAGGAACAAACGAGGTGTAAATAAATTGTTTTTGTTGTTTCTCCTTGTTTGAATCCTCGTGCGAAATGCTCCGCGTTAAGCGAATATAGTTAAAAAGGCAAGTATTACACAGAAATATCTTGTCGTAACTTTACAGTATTACATGACATAACAGCTAAACAATTATGTAAAAATGAAAACATATCACTTTCGCTATCGCAAAGCTAGCTACAATAAAAAATACTGTCCAGCCTTTTGTTCCTTCGTTCAACGAGCTATTTCTACAATTTCAATCAAACAAAATACCTCCTACAAGTGCGAGGGAACGGTAAAGACTGAACACACACATACGTATCTCGTTCTCGAGCCAAAAAATAAACGGAGAAAAAAGAAAAAGAAAAGATGGAAAGTGAGGGAAATACTAAACAAAAGATAAAAATGTAACGTGACTAAAAGGGTCAATTGGTGTGGTTGACGCTAGAATTTTCCTTGTGCATAGTATAAGATGAAATAACACGCGAGCGTATCTTACCTTTGTGGCGCAGACGAAACACGTGGTCACCACTTTCGAAATCACGTTCATTAAATTTTTTGTCTCTTGTATCACGTTATCGACTTTGGTAAAAGTGGCGGCTTTTCCAACGGTGGGATTCTTCACGGTGAATTGAAGCTGCTGTACATACGTTGGCACACGATCAAGATTTTCCAAGAGTTCTTTCTTGTGCGGTCCGCCCGGTACCTGCACCCATGCACAACATCGTATACAATCTTACGTCTTCGTTCGTATCGCAAGGCAAACGTGATCGTGATTCGTTTCCAACGACTTGATCAGATATTTCAAATCTAGAAAATTCAGTTATACTGATGCTATGCGAATTTTCATCAAATTACAAATTTAGCAGATGTAACATCCTTTTTCGACTTTTATATTTGCCATATTAGCATGTTATGTATATCTATAATTCAATGTTGATCTAACTCGAAGCATGGGTCGTGTCTTGAAGATAAGAGAAATGTTATACATATTTGTTATTTCTGTGCAAAATCTTCCTATGTTATCGAGAGCGCGTGATCGTTAATCAATTGTGGTTTTTTGTGTTGAAAATTTCTACAAAATATAGATTAGAATCATTTTTTAGTACCTAAACATTTTTGCGCAAAACACAAATTGATCGTATAGAATCGTATGAAAGACGATTCGATTAAACTATTATTTTTATATGTTTTCGCTATTTCATTACCAAAGAAACGATGCGATACGATACGATACGATACGATACGATCCAATTTCTGTTGGAGAATCGTTGAAAAACAATTACATTTGCCCTGCGATATCATCGTTTTACATTTGTAGCGTAAGTCGAATAAATCTTTAAAGCAATGCCTGATTCTATTTTTTATCGATTGACTAGTATAATAAATACTTTAAAATACGTATATCTCGGATATTTGTAAAAAGATTGCATCTAGTAAAGTTAACAAAAGAGATTTGCTATTCGTCCTAATAGAACACAATGCAACAAGTTTGAAAAAAGAACGTGTCAGTTGTTCGAGAGCATTAGAGAGTGACTGTGTGAATGAAAGTGAATTAGTACAGACCTTGTTGTTTTTGCAAGCTTCTCGAATGACAATTCATTTTGAATCATAATTAAGATCAAGCCATACGCTTTTCTCAAACGATCGCAGCTAAAATGAACTTGAAATAAATAATTAGTCAAACGTATTTCTTTTTAAATTTGAGAATTTTTTCATAGAAAATTATTTCACGTACTCCTTTCGATGATAGAGTCTCGAAAGTGACGAAGAATGAGTGACTTTACGTGCCTTTATGCGAATAAAAGGCGTAGTAATATTAAGTGATGCGTCTTTCAATTAGAAGCAAGTTACATACGATTAAAATACTTTTTTATACGAGTATGTGTATTTTAATCTTAATTTTTTGTAGGAACAAAGTAACAAAGTAACATCGCTCTATCGGGAGATCCCATGAAAATAGAATAAAATTTCATTTTAGCTGCCATTTAAGAATAAAGTGTAAACAAAAAGTCGAATCGGAAGCTGGCAAAAACTGAGACATAATAGTCATGCCCCAGATAGTGGAAGGAGGGGGACCACAATGCACATAGACGTCGTCCACAGACGGAAGCATTCCCGTAGCATCTAAAACACACCTTACTAATCGTACACAAAAAAGTCGTAAATGTACGTATACAAAATTGGTTTTACCCACAAAATAACGATCATAGTTGATTTGGTGGCATGAGACGTGAGAGATTCAACGGTATGTCTACATTTCAAAATGAGAGTCACGTTCCTGCTGCAGAACTTATACATACTTCGTTAATTACCAGCGTCTGAAAAAGTTCTGTCTATTGAACTGATTAATCTAAAGAACTCTTACTTTCTCAGCTGGAGCTTTCTTAACGAACGTAAAGACAAAACACGAAAAATATTATAAATGTAATCGTAGTTACATACACTTTCAAACAACGAGACTCGAATATACTTGCTCATTTCAAATCTCGATTGTATGAAACTTGACATTAAGAAGAATACTTATCTACCGATGCGACAATGATCGTATAGCTACTTTCAATATTAATCCGTAACGGTATAAACACGCGAGCTATAGAAATTATTTCCGATTACCAAATTGGGAACAACGTAATCGTTTGATTGCCTAGCGAAAATTACTTTACCGCCATGTAAGTCACTATGAAAAATGCAACGTCGTTCCTCGTAACGTGCTTTCTTTGTCGGAGAACGAACAAAAGCAATGTATGAGGTACAAGTATACTACGTCATTCGAGAAAAACGATTGTTTGGGATAAATCATACCAGGTATCATCGCACGATCTTGCATAGCACAGTACTGTTGCGTATAGTAAAGTAATAGAACAATAAAAAGATAGTGTGTAGTGATGTAAAGAGAAACACGGAAACACTTAACAGCAACTGATGAACAATGAGTTCGCAGAAAAATGAGCGGTATAATGCACGGCAATGAAAACGATTTGTACAAGGCGAACGTGATCTCTATTAGCCCAACAAGGGTCTAAAGTAAAGAGAGAAAGAGTTACCTGGATGGAGGCATTCAAAGAGCGAGGGTCAAAAAAGGGTTTCATAATACAAGAATATATATTACAAGGTTAGCGTTTTTGTTGACTTTTGTTTTAAGAAAATATAGAAAGATCAAAATGGTTTTGGGTAACTATATATATTCGGCCTAGCTAGGAGGGTCGAAAGGGCAGCAAACGTGTTAATTCGAACATGTCTAATGCTAATAACTCACGGCCGAGCTACCCCCAATCCATTTCTAACATTATTCCGTACGTTATATTTTTCCCATTGATTAAAATGTTATTTATTCTTGAAAATATCGATCCGACACAAAAAGAGTACTTATACAAACGTATGATACACCGTGAAACTAAAAGAGGAATTCGTTTGGATTCGACGTAGCTCTAGCGTAGCAATTACATAAAAATGAAACTCAATTAGCGAAATCGAAGTAAAAATATTCCCAATATAGCAAGGATCAAAAAACTCGGAATCAAGTCCAGTATAGAATCCGTAATAATAATAATGATGATGATCATGAGAATAATAACAATAATGATAATAGTAAACAGTAATGATAACAAATAATAATAATAACAATAGTAATAATAATAACAATAATAATAACAATAGTAATAATAATAACAATAGTAATAATAATAATAATAAACAATGATAAAAGAGTATGATTATAAAGTAAGAGTGATGATGTACGTGTATACGTGTACGTATAGGTGTTTCCTGTACTCATACACGTATATACATAACATCTGAACATCAGACCAATTAAAAAATGTGTATCAGTTTTGCTCTGAGTTTACGCTGCCTTAGTAACTGATACATACCTGATAGCTGAATTGTCTCACAACCTTGTACAATCTGTTCGCCTCCTCGGCGAAATACTCAGCTTGGGTGAATAGATCTTGTGTAGTTTTCAACGCCCCTTCACCTCTGGTGAACTGGTACATCGAGAACGCCATCGAGGACATGTTCTTCGCGCGTTTCACGATGTCGTTGTTCTCTTCCAGGGCACTTCCACTTTCCTGCCATTTCTCTGTTTCCGCATCCATCTCCGAAGTGATCAGCTTCATCTCCAGACCTGCCTTTGCGATCTTAGCCTGCTCTTCGCTGTCCAATTTTACCGGTTTCAGTGGTTTGCTCGTTGTACCGTGTTTCTGAAATAAACAAAGATATTAATCTTGTCGGATGCAAATTCGAAATTATAGATATTCAGGAATATTAAATAATAATAATAATAAACTATATCGAGTCAACGATTCTAAACCATAATATGAACAAATTAACTTACTCCAGGCCGTGGTAAGGACATGTAAACTTGTTTTTCAGGTCGGTTTTGATTCAATTCGAGTACGTCTTTCGCCACGGTGGTCACATCAGTCATAAGCCATTGCCACATGTCGGCGAACACTGAAACACGTATCGGAATGAAATCCAGTATTTTTCTCCATGTCCTAGAGATTCTAGAAAAACGACAATGACTTTGGATTCAAGGAAGAGTTTCTAAATATATATATCGTTACGGAAAAACAAAGAGTGGAGTGGAAATTCCTGAGCGGAATACTAGCGATTAATATGTTACGAGTAATCTACCTTCTAGGTTTTCCTTAGCGATTTTACTGGTAGGATGTCTCGCTAAAGTATATGCCGCTGTCACCACTTGGGGACCGTATATTCTCAGGTTAATTTCGGTAAACTTGGCTGAAACTTGCAACGATTCCGAGAGCGCAACGTGTCTCAGCATTTTGCACACCTATTAATCGATATGTTCGAAAACGTGAATTATAGATCGCTAATGATATCGTTTAGATTTCGATGGCATTTCAGAAAAAGACACTGCCGACGATGAAGATTAAACGAGCTTTACCGATTAGCTGATTTTCAAACACCTTTCATTTTTTGTTTAGTATTTAATCTCAAGATCGAAAAAGAGTAAATTTTCTAAAGAAAACTGTAGAAAAGCGAAAAGATTTGAAATCTAAAGTATGAGACTTTTTCAATGAAATATTCGATCTTGACGTCAGAATCGAATACTTACTTCGAGAATGTGTTCAATGTATTCGCGAAATTTTTCGTTGCTTTCTTGAAGAAGATATCTGTCATTGGCCAAAGCGACGTTCCTGATCGTTGAAACAAGTTCCTGACCCGCTTTAGTTACCTGTCCAAGATCGGCCGCTTGTTCCATCGTGGTCGTGCATAGCTGCTGGCGAAGATCCCTGGTGGTACGTAATACTCCTAAGACAGCTTGCTCCATCTCAGAACTTGGAGAACCACCGCCACCTTCGTAATTCTAGTACCAGATAATAATAGTAATAATAGTTTTACTATTTTTCTACTCCTTTGGTATAGGTACAATTATGATTTTAGCAAAAGAAATTGTCTCTTTGGAGGTATTCGCGATTTTAATCAAATTCAAACATCATTACTACAAATCCACCACCGCAGTGTCTTGATACCTTCAGCGGTAGAGTATTCCTTTCTTGATGTATCTTTCTTTCATTCATATGATCGATAGAATGTAAGCGAGCATAAAATATTTCATTTAACGTAGCCTAAAAATGGACGGTACGTGTTCAAAGTAATTACTAATTTCACGAGAATATGCGTCGCGATATTTCTCACAGTCAGCGACAAAAAGAAGTGTACCTTCTCTTTCTTTTTAAAGAGGGAATCGCTCGCATGCTCCCTCGTACCTATTCACCGGGGGTAGACTCTCGTAACTGTGATTCAGTTTAGCACGGTCTTTCATTCAGATTTATAGCAGAATGTCAGCCATTTTTCAGATTATTCTTCCACGGGAATGAATTAATCCGGTATTATATGAACTTTTTGTACCAAACCTTTTTCTCTCTAGCAAATCCACGACCATGACATCATTTTTTCCTTGTACTTTTAGGCGGAGGTAGATCAAAGAGACTTACAATTGGTATTAAACTTTGAACAAGAGATCTGTTAAAAAAATTGACCCTTACCATACTGTTGCCGATTCGCAGGAGCGTGTTGAGTTCGAGTTGCGCTCGATCGCAAAGCAGAAGGATGTTTTCTCTGTGCTCGTGGCTCGTGTATGCGCTATCAGTGAAATCCTGCGTTCTCTCAATAACGGTATCTAACGCGGCGGTGAGGGTCTCTCGACAACCTGGTCCTAGGAGAGTCATTCTTGTGGTTTCAACGAGTCTTTCGAAGTGTTTCAACGCGGAGAATGCCGTGCTACTGTCCCAATCCTCCTGCTGTGGACTCTGGAATCAGTCATCAATTCAGTAAAAGATTCTCTCTGTTCTTCCAGTAATATACGTACTATTTTCCGTCTCTGGATTTACGTTAACGATAATTCAATCTTCGACGTACGCTATCGTTCGAAAGTTCTCAGTTTGTTTTAATATTCTTAATATTCAACACCTCTTTTAATAAACAATTACTACGCAAGTATGTGAATGTACATTAATACGACACAGATAACGCGGCGTTCGATTAACTTTATTATTACGGTATTTATGTTTGTTTTTTATTCATACGTTCGCGAATGTTGCTTTTAGAAATCGCCTAAAAAAAGAAAAAACATGCTTCGAGTTTAATTGCGCATGTAACAAACAGTTGCTATATTTACACAGGAGTATGACCTGTATATGTGTACTTGCTGTTACTATGTAGTAGCAAGATATCATGCGAAGCTTTAATGGTACGCCATACCTAAATATACTCTTGCCCTAAGGTCAGCATAGATACGTGCATTTGAACCGATTGCTTTTAAGCAAGGATAGAGAGCATTCGACTATGCAATATCCCGGTGGCGCCGATTAACTATGCATTCTTCTAGATAGCAATTACTCGCACTAGATCCTTGAACGTGACCGAGCACCTCTATCCGCATTTCTTTTTAAAGCTTAATAAAGCTTAATAAAGCTTAAGCTTTAAAATCGGTCAATCTGGACGTTATACATTTTTCGCTGATACTTTAAGCTTTCATCCATCCTCTACTTAGCTCTTTTACGAATATCGTGCACTTTCTTCCAGCGAGAAGACGCTCGAAATACGTTAATACACGTATACCGTTTACGCGGTAAAATTGGAATTTTATCTTATTTTCGATGAAGAATGATAAAAGTTTTAGGTAAACCCTCTTATACATCGTGGTAAAACTTGCATGAGAGTTGGTCGGTGCTTTAACACCTTTTTCGGAATCAGCAGGTTTTGGTAAACTATGCTAATGTGTAGCTCTATCGTTTTGTGCGAGATATGTGTTTGGAGTCATTCGTGTGACTTTATTATTTTTATATATAAAAAAGGTTTCTCTTATCGTTTGTTTCTCCTGTATAAAATAATGTTCAACGTATTTTCTGCGGTTAAGGGTTGTCGTATTTACTATCAGCTTAATAGCAGAAAATAAATTTAACTCTCGAGGATTTAACCCTCGACGAAACAATTCCCTATTGTTTTATTGCCCCAATAGGGATGAGAAGATTTGGCCCGTCTTCCATATGTAACTTGCGAGAAATTGAAATTAATGCGTTACCTGCAATTTGGCACGTGTCGAAGAACGTACCACAACGTCGTTTACGATATCCACTTCAGCGTCGTTTGCTATGCACGGTTCTTATGTGTGGTACGATATCAATTCGCATCACTGTCAATTTACCGCATTAATTTCATGCTGAAGATGTTCCTTAAATTTCGAAAATGCCTCGAACGTTCATGCAAGAGCATGTCCGCCGATCCGTCGATGGTGCCGATATATCGGGTCATACGTGAAGTTCAGAATGTTTGTAACCTTCTCCTATTTTATCGAATCCTATATTCTGAATACGAACGTATTGGGGAAACATTTCTGTACTACGAAATATACGAAGTTGCCGATAGTGATTTGTATTTTAATAAAAAAGATTTCTTTAAAATGTCATTAAAAAAAAGTAATATTTAAGATTTCTATTTAAAATTTAAGATATTATTCCAAATTTCTGCATTAGCTAATATTTCCTTAAAATGAACAAAAACTTCTTTTTCTTTTTTCTTCTTCTTCTTCAGAAATGAATTTAAATACGCGACGACCTTAGGAAGAGACCCCTCTAGTCCGACTTTGTACAGATTTCTTCTACTTACGAGAGAAATTTAAGCATGACCATCGCTACTTCGGTTTTTACAATTTCTGGCGAAGATAATAATTATTTCGTTGTTTTATCGCATACTGTAAGATGGCCAAAGTTTGTCAAGGTCTCCAAATTTTTATTCGATCGTATATTATGTGTTAAACATGAGTTAGAATTTGGCAAACGAAAGCTCTTTGGATTCGTTCCAAACTTTCGAATGTATTTCACTATAAATGTTTCTATCTACGTCGTCGCATGTTGTTACATCAAATGTATATTTACGTTTATAGGTGATGAGGTATAACAACATTCGTGGTTTCGTGGCGTCAAAATTCCATGAATATATAATTGCGGTGCAACAAATCTTTGTCGAAACCGTATTAGCACGAATCTGTATCATATATGCATGCAACGAACCTTGACCTTGCTATGTGTTTATTTTTACAAATCTGTACGATCTTTATACGAACGTATTTCCATCTAAATATGTATACCTTTCTCAATAAAAATAATTGTACATTAACTAATTGTTTACCTGGGAATTGGAATAAGACTGCGATTCACTGCAATCTAATACTCCGTCTTTGACCACGTAGTGTATCAAGTCCATGGCTCTTCGCATCTGACAGAAAACGGTGTCTCTGTTTTCTCTGGCAGATGGACATTCCGGATGCCTTAAGCAAGTTTTACTAGACGTGAGCAACATCATAGTGCTTCTCTCCAAAACTTGACGAGCCGCAGCCATCTGTGCCCTTCGTCTCTCGTCTTTCAAGTCATTCTGGAATTTTGAAACGTTCCGTCCATTCATTCCTGTTCGACGTGTTACTATTTACTTTGTATATCCGTAACATCGTGAACGTTATTCATATAATTAACGTGACTTTGTAACATCTAACGAACGAATGTCTTATTTAATAACAATTATTGGTACGATCCTATTATGATCATGTTGTAGTATCGTGGAAAGAATGTCTAAAAATGACCCGACGAAATATGTACAATGTTGCGAGAAAGCCTAAGTGCCGACAGGCCAAAAGGGTCGGGAAACTTGAATGGGCCAAGCGGCCCATCAATATATCCTCGATCCTTCAATCAAATAGTTATTCGGAAGAAGGCGTACGTGACCATGATCGTGGACGGTTACGGAACATGTACGTGGTGGGGGTATGAAGAGACGACAAAGGGATGCTTGAGGGAGAAAGACGATTAATCGTCAGTTGTTAATTGAGAGTTTAGTTGCGAGGACTTAGCTGCGAGTCGTCAGTTGAGTGGAGAGAGTTGAGAGCAGAGGGTTGAGTCGAGGGAGAGTTGAGATTAATCATTAGTTGCCGAGTTGTTATGAGTTGTTAATTGTTAGTTGTGAATTGTGAATTATCAATTTAGTTGCTTAATTATATCACATTACTGCATTAAGTTCACGTTAAATAACCATCGTTTCCTGTTTCAAGCACTGTAAATAGATCCATCTATCGATAAACTTATCATATAGAATCATGATTCACATTATGATCATGATAGGATGATAGATATGACATGTAACGCAAAGAACGAGATTCGTTACAGAGATTCGTTCGTTCGCTATTGTTGTAATTAAAAAAAAACATGTACCGGAAATTTAAATTTTTAAATTTAATCGATATAAGCAAATGTATGTGTATATATATATATATGTATGTATGTATATATAATAAATAAATATATAATACATATATTATATATAATATAAATATATAGATATATAATAAATATAATAGATAATTTATTGACAATTCGACACCTTACGGTTGCTGAAAGATACGGAAAGTAGCGAAAGATATTCTCGGAATACTAATTATAAAACTGTCAAGAACATGATTCACGGTAAACGAGGCAAATAAATAAGGTTTAATGTAGTAACGATCAATGTTGTTCTGTCTCTTACTCGTACGTCCTATTTAACGTGACTAACTCAGGAATATTACACATCCTAAAACGAGCCTTCAAGCATTTATTGATAACAAAACAAAGGAGAAGAATTCTTATCGTATCCATTCCATGAAACACTATCCGATGGAAGCAAACGCGATAGCAAAGTTAGAAAAACTTTTCTAACACAGTTATTAATAAGATATAATTTATACATCGTATAAAGATACGATCAAGTTAATTACTTACTTGACGATCACCTGTTAAGTGTGCTAATTCCACCATCTCCGCCCCGAACTGGCTAAACGCCTTCACAAATTCGGTAAAGTTTGAAACACTTTCGAGACGGCCAAGACTACGAGCCACTTTCTTCTTTGCAAGAAGAAGTTGTTTGACCACGACGATGTCAGCCAAAAGGAGGACCTTGGTTACAGAACCAAGAAGGCATCTTGCAGCTCTGACAACAGACCCTCGGTCAGCTAAACTGTCCTCTGTGGCGCACTCGCATAATTTTTCGATAGCCGAGCCTGCAAATTAAATTACATTCTTCGTTGAATTTATTCTGCAATTATAATTACCGCTTATTATTTTTTGAGTCGATAAATTAATAAATTTTTTAGATATTTGCACTCTATACTATTTTTTTATTCGATTTTCCTTTAAATTAGTAACATTATACTTAATGCACTTTAGATTTTTGTTAATTTAGGATAATGATATCACGATACAATCATATTTAATAAAATTTGAAGAATACATTTTTTCATCCTATGAATAAATCCATCGCTAAAGATAACGTTAATATAATAGATTTAAACCTTTTCTGAAAATCGAAAAAGACCGTAGAGATGAAATGCCTAGTTTTACGCAATAGATATAGCTGTTATTATATGTATTAATACGTGTTTGTCGCAGATAAAGATGTCTAAAATCAGAGTGGCATAATTATGCACAATTAATCACTTATTCATCAAGCTCTTTTCCTTGAATAACGCAACTATACAATTAATTGCAACTTCAAGCGTTCTATCCACATTTTATATAACTATGAACCTGATTTTAGTTTTAACAACTTTGTTATCGGTATAATTGCGAATATTCAATTTTTCAAAATGATGAACATAACGATATGAATTACGAAAAACGAGTGAAACTGGAATTGGACATTTAATCGAGCATCTATAATACAAACGCATCGGATACAAAGTATAAGGTTAAGAGGATTGCATCTACATGTTCTCGGATATATACGTAGGATATTCGATGTAAATCAATCTCTTGCACGCGTACACATTATACCTACGATTTCAAGTCGTTTGGCTGTTGTTACTATACAGTTAGCCGCCGATATCATCGGCCTCCGACAATCGAATTTCCTTTCACCTAACACGATGAATATTTATTATCTTGTAGAACGTGTTCAACGTGTGACGAAGAATATTGATGATTACATTTGCTTTTCTCATTTTTTACTCGAAAGATAAGCTGAACATCGGCTGCTATAATTGAAACTTCGAATTTCGTTTCTTAATTCCTTACCATATATTTCTACGTTTGCCGCGTGTCCATTTTCATTATGACGGCAACCAAATAGTTAATTTTTCAATTAAAATTCTGCAGATCCAGTGACCGCTATATACAGCAACAGTTGAGTCTTTTTCTGAAAACTACGTAGTCAATTTGTACCATGTAGTAGATTTTTTTACCGAAACCCGGTTATCACAAATATATCGCGGAATATGCAAAACGATTAATCGCAAAATTTTACGGCTATAACATTTATAATCAAGTGCTTTTAATTATCTGCCAGACGTGTCGATGTCTGTAATTTCCTGTAAAAGCAACAACTTTATTCTTCTCACGAGAAAAACGAGATTTCTCAATTTAAGCTGATGCTGTGGTAGTATTTTCCTTGCCCGCGTAATTTCTACCCAGAGCTTCCTTGCTTTCCAATTAACATCGGAAGAAACTTAACTACAAGTTTACGATCGTTAAATTGTTTTTCTTTAATGTTAACTTTCATCGCGGTTCTAAATTTCATGTTAATGCGAATTACGAAGCTTGCGCTTTTTCTTTTTTCCTTTCAAATCTGATGCATTTCGGTGTTCTGAAATAGTTTTTAGTTTCTTTTAAAATTTTTGTGTAGAAATGTTGATTCTTGATGAAATGATATGCAAATTATAGGTATGACTGAAACGAGGTTCGTTACGGGCGTGTTCAACTTTGGTTATAAATAAATTCCAAAGTCATATCTACACGACACAAGAATGACATAAATTCTCTGATTTTTGTCTGAGATAGAATCTCAATTCTAAAGACGCGAACTCTGAAATCCACTTTATAAATCTCTATATAATTTCTTTCGGTCTTCGTATTTTGTCCATGTACAATTTTATACGCGTTACCGCTTTTTAATTTCTTCAGGCACCGTTTTATTAAGACCGCTAAAAATTAAAACATCTAAGAAAAATATACGCGCGTATAAAGATTGTATTTGTCTGAAGTATATCTTATCTTTGATTGTGTTTCGATCAAAAAAGAAGTATTACCTAAAAGTACAAATGTATGTAACTTAACGTATTCTCCGAGGTTAATATATTAATGTTAATAATACATAATAATTAATAATATATAATTACGTATATGTCGTATCGTCATCGTAATACGGGTCCGGGTCGCTACCGAAGTAAGGGTTTGAGGTATGTAATGAACCTTCACTGGAACTATCCATCTTCTTACAAAGTTGAAGTAACGTTTATTAATACAAATACGGATGTTACAAAGTTTACAAGAAATCGCGATGATTAGGCACTAATAACACTGATCTGAGACTCGATAACGAATCCGCGGTCAATGGGATAGTAGGTTTAATTTTTCGTCAAAGTCTAAGTTGAAGCTTATATCAAACGTGGAGTAATCACAGATACTAAGGCGTTAGTTAACGCGTCAATGAGCTCGTACACGAGAGAGAGTGTCTTTCCGTCACGGTGACACTGCCGAGGAAAACTATGATGGTGTGTATTTAAGGGCACGAAATGATCGGATTCGTGGAGCGATGCCTTCATTCGGAAGTGAGGGAAATTGACGTTACTGTTAATTGGTCAATTTCCATATTGGTGGTTAGAAAAGGATGCTAGCCGTCCTTGAGGGAAGGTTGCTAGCGGGAAGCATCGTTCGTTGAAAAAATAGATCTTTACTATCTTCCCGTAGTTGGGACAAAGACTGTTTGAGAGACTGAGAGACTTTAGATAACTAAATCTTAATATTTATAACGGTCCTCGGGCTAGCTGAACAGGTACTATGGAGACGCGTCGGCATCTGGTAACCATCATACCCGAAGAATAAGGCCTGCGTATGGCGAGCCACGGGGCAGAAACCGTTGGAATATTTACTGTCGCGTGCCGCTACAAATATTTCTTTTAAGGAGAGCTATAGAATTACTCCATACCTTTGTTAGACAAAGCGTTCATCCCGTGACCGCGGCTATGTTTGGCGTTTGGCAGTCGCCTCGAGCCCAAGCTCATTATCACAAATCTCGAACAAATACAATCGGATCGAATGACGACAATTGTTTAATTACGCCTATGATAGAATCTAGATTACGGTGTTAAGGGATTTTCCCGAAGTTCCAAAAGGAAGGCTCCGATGTCCTTTCATCTCCGACATAAATATTTTTGGAATGTTGTGGAAACCCCCAATACCCTAGTCCAGACTTTTACTATAGCTGCTCTTAAGTAATAAAACTAAGAAATAGTTGTAATGTAATACAATTAGATAGAATGACGACAATTGTTTAATTATGGCTATGGTAGACTTTAGATTACAATTTTACGGGTTTTCCCGAAGTTCCAAAAGGAAAAGCTCCGGTATCCTTTCATCTCCGACATATACATATGTACATACATTTGACAAATATTCTAGATAACGTCAAATATATAGCAACTTCTTTATAAATATTCTCTGTGGAAAATTACTTCGTAAACTATTTGAAATTTAATTTCTTTCACTTTCTAACATCGTAAACCAGTTGCGAATCTTTCGAATGTGTACTGCCATACAGTATTGATAGATATTCCACGCAAATATATATAATAATGCAATGTTTAATTAATCTTATGTTCCATCAATGTGACCTAGTTGCAACGAACGATTATCGTGGATATTTAATCGCCGATTGTATTAATGACTAATCAATTATCGAATCGTCGATTAGACGAACGTTTCGATATTAAAAATTTCTTCGTGAAATTAATATTTAGGTCTGTTCTTAATCCTAGTATCAATCAGCTTTAATCGTTAATAACATTCGCTTAATATAGTATAAACATAGTATGCGAATAAAACAGAACGTTGATTGCATTTCGATCAGAAACCAATGACAGACGATTAATATTTTGAAACAGCGATTTATTGCGTAACACGTTGAAAAATGAAAATAGAAAAAATACTTTATGACAGGATTAATGGTTTGATGATAAAGAGAAACGCGTAGTAGTTGTTCTTATGAAACAAAGTTCAGTTTTTATTTTATTGAAGAGTTATCGCAGAAACTATGTCATTTTAATATCGGAATACATACTTGTTCCGAATCTTCCTCTTCAACTAGAAAATTTTATCTTTTTGTTTCTTTTTTTATTTTCCATGGCCGCTTTTCGCTTACGGCTCACTGCAAAGTAGCGCAGTTTTACGTTTCACGGACGCCGAAGTTAGGATCGTTGATACGGCCATAAATTTTCACGCCTAGCCAATGTCGACAAAAATAAAGTTTGAAGATGTGTCGGTTCAGCTGAGAGGAACAGGAACCATCTACCATAGTATACAAAACTTTTATGGGGTGTAACGTTTCTAAGAGAATTCGTCTCGTGCTACAGTTATTTTGTTGGCTTATGATATTATTCGCGTCGACTTATACTTTTTCTATATTGATGAAAAAGTCTGTTACTACTTTCGTATAATATAAAAGTTACCCCAAAGCTCTCCGTTTACTCCGTAATCGAGAACATTACAGTTATTATAGATTCTTTTAAATCCGTGAAATAGAAAAAATCCGTGCAAGCATATTTTTAATAAGGAAGAGATTCGTATCTGAATTTCCACGTCTTACCATTAGACTATTGATCGACAGTCACATAAAAACATCTTTTGGTTTATATTGTCGAAGGTGTTTAACGAAGCGTTAGCAGATAGCGTTTTTATACTCGACTATTTTATCGAGCACTCGAAAGCACGAGCAGCAAACGAAGTAGAAGACTAGATACGCTGCTGAATCGCCGGCTAAATCTATCTTGTTGCCTCCTCTCGACATTTTTCGTTATCTATGATTAAATCCTAATTCGATCGCGCTCGATTTTCACAAAATCATTTCATCTTTTAAACTATGGAGATCTTGACGTTTTATATCTATTGTTTCTTAAACTTTAAATTTGTGAATATACATATACCTAACATTACCTAATGTATACAGGATGAGTCACCTAAGAGTTTAAGCTGAAATATTTTCGATACTACTAATTATATCGAAAAATGT